TAATGCAAATACGCTCATTCTGCTATTTAAGTTCTTTGCTATTACTATTTATTTCAACAGTATTTTGTTAGGCTGGTCCCTCCATCTAGTCGTTATATATAGCCTAGATCTATTGTATTTTCACAGTTGTACTTTCTGAACGAATAAGGGATAAATGTTGTATGTGTACTGATAAGGTGCATTCACACCAAATCCGAATTTTCGGATCGGAAGACCTACCGAACCGACCAGAAAATTAGATGGACTGCATCAGATTTAAGATTCAATTCGATTCAAAAGTAATTTATTCCAAATCAATAATAGAAACAGACATACACACAATAATCTTGACATATAAGGCATACGAAGTTGAAACTACGAAAAGTTAGCTCTCTGTTTATCCCGTCTCTCTGATTTTAAATGTTCTGTTCTGATTTTTTTTTATTCGATTTTGTTCCTTTTGTATGATTTACTGTATGCCAAGATAATGAAATTAAATAAACACCAATATCTTTTTTATTTCTTACGAGTCCATACACGAGTTCATCTGTTGAGCTATGTTTATCTGATCTGATCTATTTCTCTGTTAGTTTTTCCTTAGGACATTTCGTCGCAAAAAAGCGCGTCAAAATACGCGCTGCTGTCGTTAAGGACTTTTTGTGTGGTAAAGAATACAAAATTGCTTGACAACCAATACGCGCTCGTTTTGACGCGCTACTGTGATTTCACGAACTAACACAATCTACTTTGATTGTGTTAGTTCGTGATGTGAGCGACGATTTCGTGGATATTTTTCTTTTTGTTCATGTAAAGCGCATAGAGGCAATAGACCTTTCCGTTAAGCCCCGCCCCTTGGATATTGTTGCTAAGGTCCCACAAGACGACAGCGTTAAAGAATACGCGTGCGGACAATACGTTTGTTTGTGAGACGCGCGCTATTCCTAGCGTTGTTCTGATTAGTAAATTGTTAAGTTTGATTGACACTCTGGAAAGGTCTATTGTATACTTTGTATTATGCGATATATAAGATTTATATTATTATTATTAAATTGTCCCAGCAGTAGCTGGAAAAGCCATTGATTATGTTCTGAATTTTTTTTTTCTTTTCTCTTTTTTTACACCTTTTTGCACTGAGTTATTTCGCCCGGTACTTTGGTCACTTTCCATGCTTGGATCTTGTCCATTCTTTGTCGAAGTATTGAACATATTATATCAAGAATGTGCCTCCTAATATTTAGTGTCAATCTAGAGTAGGGTGTGGATGCGAGGACCAACTAAAGGGATTTAAAGGCAAACACTCTATACACCAGATATTTTTTTTAAACCAGTTCAACTGATCTGAATAAAACTATTGGAAAAGTTTATCCAAGTTACAAGGAAGAAACTATTATGTTTTGGTGACGAGCCACTTTAGGGTGTAAATGCGAGTCATTTTAATTTCTGACGTACCACACCTAAATATTTCTAAAAACTATTACCATAGCTGCTATTGTTCTAGTCTCACTAACGTCGCATTAGTCGTGAGATTGGTTTTCATTGGGTTTTTTTTCGCCTAATAATTTCCTTCAGTAATATTATATATATAAATATATATATATATATATATATATATATATATATGTATATATATATATATGTATATATATATATATATATATACAATATACATGTATGTATATATACTATACACCAATAGGTACTCTGCTGATCATGATTTGCAACACTCTCAAACGTCATTTAATCTACCATATGTGATACATCCTCTCCACTGTCACTTTCGAGCCCTCTCGTAAATCTTACCCATCTTGAATTGGCTTGATCAGTGGAAATGCGTATACAGGAAATAACTATAAAATTCCCTTTTACTCTGCATGAGGTAACCGCGTCTGGTTCTTTGTAAAAATAAGATGAGCCGTACTAGACTGAAAATAAAGTAAATAAACAACAGATTCACATACGCATAAAGCGGAATTGAAGAAACTAAGTTTCCGTTATTCAAGCCAAAACAAACAAGCCAATCAAAGATGTAGCGCAGGCGCTTGAATAAGATAAATGCTTGTAATGAATCCCAGGGGCCCAGAGGTAGGCCGACTGTACAATGTTAGGCATATTTTGTTCAAAGCAATCTTAGTAGCGGCGCCAAAATTGGGGGAGATGGAAAAGTTTTAAGTGTTTAGGAGTATTGAAATCTAAATATAATTTATTTAAATTAATTATTTAATTATAACCACGAACCATAGCCCGATGGAATAGGCTTGGGAGGGTTCTTAGGAAGATTCTCTCGGAAGGTCGGATCCCGCACCCTTGAGACATAAATTAATTGATGTTGATAATATATATATCTGTCTCTTATACACATCTAGATGTGTATAAGAGACAGACTACACATAGATAATATACCTGTAATATGAGGTGTATGTACCCACTCATATGGACGCAGGATGACCTTGAAAATCACTAAAAAAAAAAGTTGCATCTGTCATCCTCACCTCACCATCTTTGTCCTCGCCATCATTTTAGAGACCTCAATGGAAAGAAGTCGTTTAGCTTTCTTGTTATCTCGGAATTTCGCTATCATTGTGAATATTTTTAAATAATATCTTGTTCTTGTTTTTTTTTATGATTTAAAATTTTCCGAATAAATTCTTTCATCATCACTACTGTTATTATTAACGTTATTCGATAGTCTGGACAGAGACTCATAATGAACCATATTTCCCAGAAAACACATAAGGAAATCGAAACGTTAAGACATTCTCAATAAGTCTTTCCTATCAGTAGGTTATTAGTTATAGTGACGTTATATTGAACGACAAGGCGACACCTGTCACGGGGACACCAAAGATCTTATAAACACAAGAAAGCGTTCTCCGCTATTTACGCGTGCAAATTCTGTAATTATTGCAAAATTAAAAACCTTTGAACCTTGACCGCTCTGACATAGCGTACGCCGCGCGACTTTATGTTTACGCGTAACAAATTACAAGCGTCCGATTTACAATGCGCCCTCTTTAGAACATAAGGAACAAATCAAAGATCTTATAAAAACAAGATAGCGTTCTCCGCGATTTACGCGTAACAAATAGAAGCGTCGCCGCTGGGTCAAGGTTCAAAAGTTTCCAATTTAGCAAGAGGGCGCCATTCATGCGCTATTATACCAAAGAGAAAAGTAATCAGTTTTGGAAGAGGGCGTCCTATCTGTTGCCATGGATCTGAGATGGTTCCTGTTCAGATCTGCTGTTCACAGGATTGATACCCAAGGTAAAAAGTCGCGCGGTGACGGTATGGTCAGAGCCGTCAAGGATCAAATTTTCCAATTTAGCAAGAGAATTACTACAGAATTTGCACGCGTAAATCGCGGAGAACGCTATCTTGTGTTTATAAGATCTTTAGAACAAATTAACGTACTTGGTAACGAACTTTGGCGTAACGCGAACTTGCGCGAACACCCTATCTCAGATCCATGGCAACGACTGGGCCGCCCTCTCCCAAAACTGATTACTTTTCTGTGCCAAATCGACGTTTCTATTTGTTACGAGTAAAATCACGGAGAACGCCATCTTGTGTTTATAAGATATTGGGGGGGGGGCACCTACAATTTTAGAACATGTTTCTTTAGACTACCAACTATTGAAAGTGACAGCGACATCTCACGTGACCGGGTTTCGTTTCAAGTGCCATTTCCTTCTACTTTTTTTTTAAAATTATTATTATTTTGTAACTACGCATTTGGTTTCTTTAAATTTTATCTGGTTACTATTATGTACTTAAGTTGCATTTTATTTGTTGACAAAAATATATCAGGGTTACAAATTTAAAACGTTCTGTGTATACATCAATTGGCCTACTACAACCTTTATCACTTTGGTTTTACAACTCCGTTTAAAACATTGGTTTTACAAAAAAAAACTAGTTCTCATAATCTCGAAAGCTCCGATGAGAGCAGTATAATAGAAGCAGTAGAGTGTATTGGTCCTAACAGTCGCCCATACAAAAATTATCTATTAATCTATCAGCAGGGGCGGATTTGGGGGGGGGGGGAACCGGCCCGGCCCCGCCCCCCCCCCCCTTTTGGGAGGTAAAAAAAAGAAAAAAAAAAGAAAAAAAAGAGAGAAAAAG